AGGCGTACAAAACTAATCCTTGCTTCTTAAAAGTCGGACATCACGACAGCAATACACTGGGAACGACCCTGACACATCTCAGCTGCCAACAATCAACTTACCGCAGGCTGGGCCAGCAACAGGGACCGTATGCAGCCTACACGCAGCAGAGCACCAGACAGCCCGTGCCTGTTGCATGCGGCAAGGAGCCGCAGACACCCGATTGGGAGATACCGCACAGATGAAGCACTCAGGTGGGGGTTCACCCCCGGCCCGGGGCGCGGCCCTGCCTCCCACCCCCTGGCCGGCGGGGGCTATCCCGGCTGCATGGTGGCGACCCGTGCCATGATGGGGGCTCCCGCGTGGTGCTCGCGCTGCCCGCCTACACTGGCAAAGGCTGTGGGAGACACAGCAAGCCAGCAGAAGATGACAAAGACATGAAGGGTAAAGGACAGCACCGATAGAGTGACACACAGATCCCAAACTGCTTATTGCCTGGAAAAACAAGCGGTTTATTGCCTGAAAAACCGGCTCACTGACAGCCTGGACGAGATTGATAGGGAACAGATGGGAAGACAATCAGAACTGATATGGAGGCACTTCATTATAGCTTCACTCACTCAGAGGGCCACAGAGCAACTTCATATGGTGGACTGACTCACACACTGACCGGAGCAGTGAGTACCCCGGTCTCTGGGTATGGAGGGTCCCTGGAGACGTTTGTCCCCACTGTCGTGAGCCTTGTGAGGCGGGAGTGCGCTGCCCTGCCGGCGGACTGGTGGCCAGGGGGGTAGAGTACCAGCGTTAAGTGTGAGGCAGACACTGGGAGAGACACGGGAGTGCCCGCTCTATGGGGAACAAAGTGATGCTGGGGAGGTGCAGGAGGCGGGAGGGCCACCGACTTTGTGGTGGGGTCCAGTGGACAATCTCAGCCCAAGTGCCCACGGTGCCACGGAGGACCCGGCCGGTGGGCGGGGGCCGACGTGGGAAGACCGGACGGAGGCTCGGCGACCTGAGGACTGCACTGTAGCAGAGACATGTGAGGCCTCCCTCAGCCTGCCATACAGCGCCCGCATAAGTTAAACCCAGCCTTGCTTTTATATTGCTATAGCTCGTATAACTGATCTTTATTTTTATTTTCTCCATATCTCTCTCAACAAGGCATATTTGTGTCCTGGCTAGAAAAAAGGCTGTTAAAAGATAAATAATCATGAAGCTTAACACCCACATGAAGCCAGCTTAATATGTTGCATTAGCTCAGTATATGCAGTTTGTGTGGTAGTGCTTATAAGAGCTAAAGTTTCAGACCGGAAATTATTACACACATTACCATTCTTGGGCTAGCTGTGCGAAATATAAAAGGCTTTGTTTTTTCATTATCAACATAGATAGCTTAATTACAAGACACTATCTCTATATGCCTCCTTACTGCAACATTGCATTTTCATAAGGGTCCATTCAGAACCGTCCTACACTGCAATACTTAAGTTTGACCTGTTAATTTAACAGCACACATACTCCGATTAAGCATTAGCCTAAGATCAAACTTTTGTCGCAAGCAGACTGAGTAATTAGCCGGACACATGTCATTAATTGTTTTTCTTAGGGACATGAATGTTGGAACGTTATATCAGAATACTCTCGTCAAGTGTTAGTTTTAAGCTTAGACATGTGCATCCCTGCAAAGTTTAAGTAAGTTTGTATGATCTGATCAATTCGCCTTTGCACAGGCGACAATCTGCATTTATTCTTATATACTGATTCTTAAGCCTCTGCGTAGGCGCTTTAATGAAAATCTGTTTGATGCAAGAATTCAAGATATGATACCAATAAACATATTTAAAACAAATTTTGAGACAGTGCCATCAAAAAGAATGATTTGAGAAGGACTTTCATTTTGATAGACAGGAATGTTGAAAGTATCATAGGTTTTTTGATTTAAAATACAACCAGTGGCACCAGAATCATTTACAGCTTTAATTTCTATCTTTGTACCATTTAGAAGAAAAGACATAGTTGTAAAACAATTACGTTCTAGGTTAGAAACCGTGGAGCAATTAGTAGAAGTTTTTCCCATCTTATTCCATTGAGAAAGGGGACAATTGGTAATAGATGAGAAGGTGATGCACAGTACATGCATAAATTATTTGTTTTTCTTCTGTTCCTTTCAGTTTCAGATAAGGGACCTTTAATGTAACCAATTTCCATGGCTTTGTTTTTTGAGGAGTTAGGAGAATTGTCTAGACGGGGTGTTGTTGAAGAGGATTGTCTGGAAGAATTAGAAAAATAACTTTTTTCTTTTCTTCTTTCTCTAAACCTCCTGTCTAATTGAATAGTGAGATCAATTAATTCCCTTAAAGTGCTAGGAATACCAGTCCTTGCAAGTTCATCTCGGAGATTTTCAGACATCCCCAATCTATATTGGTATTTTGAAGCTGCTTCATTCCATGAAGTATCTGTTTCTCACTTTCGTAGATTAGCTGCATTCTTCCACATTGTTTCTCCCTTGAATTAAAGAGTGTAATAAGGTTTCAGCAGTATCACTTTTATTTGATTCTTCATACAATTTATTCATTTCCTGCAGGAATAATTCAAATGAGGAGAGGCAGGGGTCAAATTACTCAATTAGTTGATAAGCCCATTTAGCAGCATCTCCCTGAAGTAAGGAAATAATGGTTTTTATTTTCACATAATTTCTAAAAGTGACAGGTCTCAGAGAAAACATGAGTTTACATGAACGCCCTGTAAATAGAACGATCTCCAGAGAATTTTTTAGGGGGTATATAGGAGGTTCAGGTTGATGGGAAAGTTTGTGTTTTAAATTTTCAACTTGAGTTTGGATATAATTTAGTTTAAAGTGGAACTCCTGAATTGATTGAGCTAAGAGTTCAACTTGTGATTGAAGAGACTGAAACCTCTGGGTTAAGTTTGTAGCTTCCATTATTTTTTAAACTAAGTTTGACAATTGTAGGGCACAATTAATCTGTCATGTGTTTTTCTTTAACAAATGCCGAACAAAAAAAGGCAGTTTCAGCATGGCAAACTGGTGTGGCAGCAAAGCAGAGAGATAAACTGACAGTCCTTGAAAATAGAAGTTTAGGTGATGTGTCCAGGGTTAGTCCATGAGCAATGTACTTTATCCAGTCTGAGGTCATTCAATAGGAGATCAAGCAGTATTGAAGGAAATTCCCAAAAGCAGAGTCAAGGCCAGGCCAAATTAGTTAACCAGGTAATCAAAGATAAAGGGGTATGAAGAGGAGTGATACCAATGATTAGGAAGCAAGTTCATGCAATCAGTCAGAGTAACACATTAATTGTGCACTGAGGTGTTGGAGATTGGAGTTTAAATAACCAAAGGGGTGTGTACTTCCATGCCATCTTAAAGGGCCAGTAAAAAACAAATAAAATTCCTGACATCTGCACTGCTTTCTGCGACTGTGCAGGCAACAAATGCATCCTGCACGTACCACAACCAGGTAGCCAAAAAAAAAAATAAAAAAATCATTTTGGAGATAAGATTAATACAATTTAAACAATTACTAGCACAAAATAAAATAAGTACTATAGCTACCTTTGAGCATTTACAGTCACACAGATTATGATCAAAGCAAAAATAATTAACTGGTTGTTGCTTTTATTGCATTAATATTTTACTTTCACTAGTTGCTGTACTAAGAAGCTACCCAGTACTCAATATTTACCCATTCTTAAACAAAGGTACATATGGTTTTCAAATACTTATTGTGATTTAAGCCTACCTTTTCTGTGATAAAGTCTCATAGATGTTTGTTTGGAGCGCTACAGTCAGCATCAGTGGTGTATCCTGGTTTTGTGCTGCCCTAGGCAGGACAAAACTCAGGCACCCCCCCCGCACTACCCCCACCCGCGCAACCGCCACCGTACCCTTCCCCCCTGCTCCGCCTTCTAAATACACACACACACATTCACTGACAGATACGCATTCACTAGCTAACAGAAAAACACACTCACTAACAGACACACACTCACTCACTAACAGACACACTCACTCACTAACAGACACACACACTCACTAACAGACACACACACACACACACTAACAGGCACACACACTAACAGACACACACACTAACACACACACACTAACAGACACACAGACACACACACACTAACAGACACACACTAACACTAACATACACACACACTAACACACACACACTAACACACACACACACTAACAGACACACTAACACTAACATACACACACACACACTAACAGACACACTAACACTAACACACACAAACACACACACTAACAGACACACTAACACTAACACACACACACACACACACTTTTTTTTTTATATTTAACCCCCTTCCTCTCCCTGGGGTCCTGGGGTCCAGTTGGTGCAGGGCGGGCGGTGCAGAGCGGGCAGCACTGGGCGGGAGGGTGGGCGGCCGGCGAGGGAGCTCTTCCCCTGAGCGCTCTGCTCAGCTACCTCGCGCGCCGCCAGCAGAGTGAGGCTGGGAGCCGGAATATGACATCATCAACCCGGTTCCCAGCCTCACTCGGCGACGCGCGAGGGAGTTGAGCAGAGTGCTCAGGGGAAGAGCTCCCTCGCGGGCCGCCCACCTGCCCAGCGTCACCCGCTCGGCATATCTGTTAGCCGCGAGGCTAACAAGGCATTTGCCCTGGGCATTTGGGGGCGGCTTTTTTGCCGCCCCCTGAAAAATGCCACCCAAGGCAAATGCCTTGTTTGCCTCGCGGCTAATACGCCCCTGGTCAGCATACAACACATAATTTGATTGGTGGACATTACTACCTTAATCAAGGCATTGGTGTTCCATTTAGATCAATGTAAGTCTTGTATGAAGGACTTGGAGGAAAAAGAAACCCCCCTTTTTCATAAAATGGTAAAAATAAAATGCATCATACAAGCTACAAAACAAACATCACTTGTGTCATAAATAGTGATGTCCCGAACGGTTCACCGCAGACGGCGAACATAAACATAAACTTTGACCCTGTACCTCACAGTCAGCAGACACATTCCAGCCAATCAGCAGCAGACCCTCCCTCCCAGACCCTCCCACCTCCTGGACAGCTCACAATGAATATAAAATGGATGCTGTCCAGTAGGAGGGAGGGTCTGGGAGGGAGGGTCTGCTGCTGATTGGCTGGAATGTGTCTGCTGACTGTGAGGTACAGGGTCAAAGTTTATGTTTATGTTCGTCGTCCGCGGCAAACCATTCGGGACATCACTAGTCATAAATACAGGTGTTTATTTTCTCAACAGGTGACATGTTAAATTGAGACTCAAACTGCATGGCTTTTTAATTGATATATATTTTGTCAGAAAGTTTATCACGACTTTCAGTACCTAAAGACCACACATATGTTTGTGCACAGTTAAGCATGCTACAGTAAGGGAAAAAAGTATTCAATCCCCTGCTGATTTTGAACATTTGTCCACTGACACAGAAATGATTAGTCTATAATTCCCAGATTTTACTAATAACATGATGTAAAGTCATGATTTTATTAATGACACAGAGGCGAGTATTATGCTATCTCTTTCTTACTTTATTCCTCAGCAGCAAAGAGAAATATAAAACTGAAAGAGAAAAAATGTAGATATGCAATATAATAACAGGTACAACCAGATCTGCCTAGTAACAGGGCAGCCAATCAGCTTAGTAGGAACAGTCCATAAATGTCTTGCTTAGTACTTCCACTTCCTCTTCTTTGCCTTCTGAAACGAAGACCCAAACCAAACTTCCACATCAGGAAAGAACAATCTCCAACAAGGTAGACGTCATCTTAACAAAATCAAGCTGTAAAACAGAGAAAAAGTAGGTAAAATCCAAACTCCGGACCTGCATGTAACCTTTTATGACCATCTGGCCTGCAGGACTAAAAAACTTCAAAATCGTAACCACATAAGGTGGGAGGGTGGGAATAATACTCGCCTCTGTGTCATTAATAAAATCATGACTTTACGTCATGTTATTAGTAAAATCTGGGAATTTTATTAATGACACGGAGGCTCCTATTATGCTAGTTTAAAGCTGAGCCACAACTAACGAGGAAACATGGTCAATCGGGCGGAAATAAAAATCGCGGAACGTAGATTCTCTAGACCAATCCGCTGCCTTCAAGATATCATCCAGCCGACATCCCATCGTGGAGGCCTTAGACGCCATGGCGCCTCTGACTGAATGAGCCGAAAATATAGAAGTATCGATTCCTGCAGCGGATAGAAGATTCTTAATCCAACGAGCTAACGTAGTCAAGGAGATCGGGAGAAACGGTTTCTTAAAGGAAATAAACAATTGGGATAGATCTGATGACCTCAATAGGTGAGTGCGATCCAAGTACACCCGTAGGCAAGCTACCGGACACAGAGCAGGTCGGACTGAACACCTAGGTTAGGTCACTGATTTAGAAGACGTCTTCGTCCTCCTAGAGATGTTAAACAACACTCCCTCGGGGGTGAAGGATAACGCGTTCCAGTCCAAAGCCCTGACATCTGAAACCCTTCTGCATGAAAGGAGACACAGGAGCATAACCAATTTCCAGGATAGTTGCTTCAGTGACAGGTCCTCATTAAGGGGCCATGATTCCAAGAAGTCCAGCACCACGTTAACATCCCAAAACGATGAATATCTGGATTTCAGAGGCCTAGAGTAACGAATACCCTTCAACAAACGGCACACAAAAGGATGTTGTCCAATCGGTGATCCGTCAATACCTAGATGTCCGGCTGAGATGGCCGATCTATAAACATTGATAGTGCGATAGGCCAAACCAGATTCAAAATGCGTAGTCAGAAAACTGAGCACCTCCTTCAGAGGGGCAGAAAGGGGATCCAGCAGTCTCCCCACGCACCAGCCAGACCACACACGCCATGCAGACTTGTAAGCTGTTCTGGTACCCGGTGCCCAGGCATTCTCCAAGAGTCTTGTAGTAGCCTGCGGAACGTCTGAGACACACCAGGGTCCCCGGAAATCAACTAAGCCGTGAGCTGGAGCAGGTTCTGGTCCACTAAGTTGTGTGAGTTCCCATCCGAATCCAGAAGCCCCTCTGGTCACATCCTGATCATCCGTGGGCACTCCGCCGCCATCTCCAAAAGACGTGGAAACCAAGGCTAAGTCTGCCACAGGGGAACTATCACCACCAACGTGCACTCTTGTCCGGACAAGTATGCCAGCGTCCGAGAGATCAGGTTGAAAGGGGGGAACGCAAAGTGACGACCCCGAGGCCATATCTGCAGGAACGCGTCCACCGCCGTGGCTGATGGATCCGGTCTCCAACTGAAGTATTGGGGTAGTTGAGCATTCAGTCTGGATGCGAACAAGTCCAGTTGTAACGGGCCCCATAGTTGATCTGTTGAAAGATCGAAGGCAACAGATGCCAATCTCCTGAGTCTTTCAAGTATCGCGAATTCCAGTCCACCCATTCGTTGTCCAAACCCGGGATGTGTTCGGCCGTTACTGACACCGCGCTGTGGAGGCAGAACTGCCAGAAATCCTAGATTCGCCAGTTGTTTTGACTTCGTGCCACCTAGGTGATTTATATATCTGACCGCGGACATATTGTCCATGTGCAGAAGGACGCAGCAGTTTCCCAGGGTTGGAGACAGGCTGCGAATAGTGAATGATCCCGCCAGCAATTCCAGACAGTTGATGTGCAGCTTTGATTTGATTTCGGACCATCTGCCACCTGTGGAGACATCTCCACAGCGAGCGCCCCAGCCATGCAGGCTGGCATCCGATTCTATCACCATATCCGGGGCGGTGCCGAAGATTGCTCGACCATTCCATGCCTCCATATGATCCAACCACAATCGAAGTTCCTCCTTGGAGTCTCTGTCCAGGCATAGTTCGCTTTCGTACGAACTGCCCGAGCGATGGTGGGATCCCTTCAGACGTTAGGGCCCGATAATGTAGGGGTCCCGGAAAAATCGCCTGAATAGAGGAGGCCAAAAGACCAATGACCCTCGCCAGTTGTCGTACGGAGAGACTGGTGGTCCGTAGAGTACGTCTTATTTCTTTCTTCATAGCCTTTAGCTTGGCCTCTGGAAGGAACAGAAACTGGGCGACCGAATTGACTTCGAAACCCAGAAATTCTATTTTCTGCGTTGGGGTCACCATGGACTTTTCCCAATTTATGAGAAAACCTAAGCTCTCCAGAAGATCCACCGTCCAACTCAGGTGCTGTAGAAGTTGGTCGGGGGACGCGGACATAATCAGTATGTCGTCCAGGTAGATAATCATGCGTACGCCCCGCGACCTGAGGAACCCCACCATTGGTTTCATCACCTTCGTGAAGCACCAAGGTGCTGAAGAGAGACCGAAGGGCAGACAGGTAAACCTCCACCGACGTCCTTGCCACGTAAAGTGCAATAAGTCCCAGTGTACCTCTGCCATAGGTATAGTCAGGTATGCATCCTTGAGGTCTAGCCGAAGCAGGTCTCTGAAGCAATGTATGCCCTCCATCTTGAAGTGATGGTAACGAAGGAATCCGTTGAGTCGTTTGAGATTGATCACCGGCTGAACTCCTCCGCCTTTCTTGGCGACGAGGAACAGGTTGCTTAGAAATCCCGGATGATCGTACGGGACTTCTTGTATTGCCAGTTTGGCCAGAAGTTCCGAGATCTCCTTGGTAATCAGCCCGGACTGATCTTCCGGCAACCTCAGTTCCTGAGGTGAATCCACCTGGATAGGGGGAGACAAAAGATCCAGGCGAAAGACTCTGATAGTATTTAACACCCACACATCTGTGGTGATCATGCCCCACATGTCGAGAAACAAAGCTAACCTGCCTCCCGCACTCGCCTGGAGAGAAAAGCCTTTTTGAGTACTCACCGTAAGGGCGTCTGTATGAGGGCTGACCACGATTCTGCCATGTCCTCCCGCGGGAGGGAAAGAAGGGATCGGGTTTGTAGTCCTGATAGGCCCAAGGGGCAGCAAAGGAACCTCTATGAGTCCGTGAGGGACCTCGATTTCCACGGCCAGGCGAACGGCTCCTATACCGCCCGGCCCTGTTGAAAACCTTTGGGCCAAAAACTCTTTTAAGGTTGGATTGGACCTTATCTAGTGCAGTGAAGGTACGCACAAATGAGCCCAAGTCTTTAACAAAAGACTCACCAAAGAGCATGCCTTTAGTGGCAGCGCCCGGTCCCTTCACCGCAAGGTTAACCAGTTTAGGCTCTATTTTAAGCAAGATCGCCTTGCGGCGTTCGGCTGACATAGCCGTGTTAGCATTGCCGAGTAGGCAAATCAATCTCTGGACCCAACCTATTGCCACTTCGAAATCAAGGGGGGTATCCCCTGTTTTAGCCGTCTCCAATAGCTCGGGACCTAGAGTGTCCAAAATCTTGTCCTGGCAATTATGGAGTGAAAACTCCAAACCCTTTCTGGGTTTCCAGCCCGTTTTTGTCAGGATCTGTGAGATCTGAGGGTCAACCTCTGGCGTCTTACATGCCGCATCAGGCACTGAGGGCCTTGGGTATTCGGCCCATAACTTACTGCGCCCCTCCTTGGATAAGGGGGTACGCATACGAAGCGCTAGATAGCTAGCTATATGCTCGGGCGGGTTCCATTCCGCCAAGCGAGGGTGACGAAGGTCATCAGGATCGAACAGGGGGTAACCCTGCGGATTGCATATGCCTTGTTCCCCACTCAGAGGTAACGCAGAAGCGTCAGACCCCACCTCCTCGTCGGAGTCCCCTTCCTCATAAGAGGCGTAGTCGGGGGTGTCCGAACCTGTCTCCCCACTTGGGTCGGAATCTGACCCGTCATTGCCATGGGCACGCGCCCTTTTCCACTTTTTGGCCGATTTTGCCCGGCCAGCGGCTCTCTTGCGCGGTAACGAGCCATCTTGGACGGCCAGAGGCGTGTCAGTCAGGGCAGGTACTACCTGCGTCATATCGGGGGAGACATGTTTAGTTTTGGCATATGCCTTGCGGCTGACCTGAGGTTGCAGCGCAGGCAGGGGGCTTGCCAACATAGGAGAAGCCAGGGGATGAGTCAGGGCCTGTTGGATAGTGTGAGACAGCGATGATGAGACTGTCCCCATGGCAGAGGCCAGGGCCCTCTGCATAGTAGGATCAATAAGGGCCTGGAACTCTTGACAGGGGGTGAGTCCCCTTTCACCTGAGATAGGGGCCTGAAAGGCTTCCATGATGGGGTAACTGGGACAGCCAGAATCATCAACCTTAGCCTGCATGATAGACAGGAGGGCAAATAAGCTTGTGGGCAAAAAGGGGTATGCCCCTTTAAATATATACAGAATTAATTTTTTTTAGCCACAATAAATATTATTAGGGGAGCCAGGCCACCAGTCCCAGAATAACTGATATAATAGGGTGATGGAACAAACCTAACTACACTATAGGGGTTGAGTAACCCACAAAGTAAATACCTGTGGAGAAAAAGGGGAAAGGGAGCCTACCGCCGGATCCGCCAGCAGCCATGCGCGTGAGTGAAGATGGCCGCCGCGCCCCAAGCTCCTCCCCCGCCAATGGCCGGGGAGCTCGTGGAAAACATACGCGGCCGGAGGTAGAGCGGGTCGGAGTCGCACGCGGCAGCACACGCGGTCGCGAGGGGAGGAGGGAGGGCGGTCAGGGAGCACAGCAGCTCCCGAGAGAAAGCTTCCCCAGTGATCCGCGGTCCCTGTCTGTGCTCACAATGGTACAGCACAGGCAGGGAGTCCGAGCAAGTAGGGGAAGAACAGAGACACCCAAAAGGGGGGTGCCAAAAAAACATCAAAACAATATACATAAACCATATAGGGTGCACAAAGCAGCATCCAAATACATAATACAGGAAAATTAATCAGTAAATAAACACATAAAAAACAATCCAAAATCAAAATATACAGGAGTGAAATTAATACTTAGCTGGTCTGAGGACAGCAGCAAAGAAAGAGGAAGTGGAAGTACTAAGCAAGACATTTATGGACTGTTCCTACTAAGCTGATTGGCTGCCCTGTTACTAGGCAGATCTGGTTGTACCTGTTATTATATTGCATATCTACATTTTTTCTCTTCCAGTTTTATATTTCTCTTTGCTGCTGAGGAATAAAGTAAGAAAGAGATAGCATAATAGGAGCCTCTGTGTCATTAATAAAATTTCAATGGTAGGTATATTTTAACAGTGGGAGACAGAATAACAAAAAAAAAATGAAAGATCCAGAAAAACGCATGTCAAAAAAGTTATATATTGATTTGCATGTCAATGAGTAAAATAAGTATTTAGTAGGGGCATCATTTACTAATACTAAGTAATCTTTACTTTTTAGATTTACCAATTTAGGTCTTCCAGCCTTTTAGTAGATAGCTCCCTAATACCGTGGGAATTAGGGAGTTATCTACTTATTCATTCCTGTCATTACATTGACTGGCCAAGTAACTTACATTTTATATGAATGTGTGTTACTTGATTGTTGTTACTTGAAGTGTTGCAAACGCTTACAGGTGAATCCTGGCTATGTTTGTATACTTTTTATTTAAAATAGTATACAGTGTAACATTCTTCTTCTTTCACTGGGTAAGTATATTAGTATTTAGGCAATACTGTGCTCGTTCGAATTCATATTTGGCCCAAAACAAATTGCACATGTTTACTTTCCACCATGGTCAAGACCAAAGAGCTGTCCAAAGGATGTCAGGGACAAGATTGTAGACCTACACAAGCTTGGAATGGGCTATAAGACAATCACCAAGCAGCTTGGTGAGAAGGTGACAACAGTTGGTGCAATTATTGGCAAATGGAAGAAACACAAAATAACGTCAGTCTCCCTCGGTCTGGTGCTCCATTCAAGATCTCACCTCGTGGAGTTTCAATGATCATGAGAACGGTGAGGATTCAGCCCAGAACTACACAGGAGAATCT